AAGATTAAAAAAACTGTTTAGAGTCCCGTCTGTGGCCCGGCCAACATTATTTAGTTGGGGAATATGCCATGACAATTTCTAGATAGATATTATCCAGGACATCTAGCATGCCACGATAAATTTCTAGTCTGGTAGTAATCGATGGAAAATGATTCTTTTGCATGACAACGCGCGATCACATGTTGCAAGAACTGTGAAAGAAACATTGTTAGAGCTCGAATGGGAAATTCTCCTGCATCCAGCCTATTCTCCAGACTTGGCCCCATCGGATTATTATCTTTTCCGATAGATGCAACACGTGCTCGCTGATACACATTTTTCCAATTACGAACAAGTAGAAAAATGAAGTGGATACATGATTTGCTTTTAAAAGACAGCTCGTTTTATTGTCGCGGAATCCAACTTTTGCCAAAAAGATGGAAAAAAGTAATAGAAAATAATGAAAAATATTTTGACTAAGGTATTAATTCACATTCTTATTGAAATAAATGCGTTTTCCAAGAAAAAACGGCAGAAAGTTTATCGCCTAATATATGTATGTATTAAATGCAGATTAAAGTAATTATGGTCAATCAGTATTCTGATATTTGAAACATACGTACACAAAAGTCAATGTAATCAGTAGTTATCCTTTAAAACATCTTAATCAATATTTTTGTAAAAAATTTTTTTATTTTGTTTATTTATAAAATAAAGGTATATTTATTTTTAGGTATTAAAGACATCGACTGGTTATACATCATTTTTACTGACAATAACAAAATATAGTTAAAGATTAAGATAATATATTAATGTTTGTTATTCACGAAAGTAATGTGTTTATAATTGAATAATTACAATTATAGAGAACAATATATGTAGTAATCGTTAGAATAGAAATAAAATTTTGTTTTGTCAATTGTTTGCTGTTTGTTTTAAATTATAATTATATATTATAAATGTAATTATTAAAATATTTAATAACATAATAATATTTTCCGAGAATAGTTCAATGAAGATTAGTTTTTTTGTATATTACATTTAAAATAAGAAACTAAATCCTTTTCTTACAATTAGTATAAAATTATATTTTTAGTATTTAATTGTTTAATCAATAACCAATTTTTTGTATTATATCTTGCTAAATTAACATAGTGCGATAAAGAATGTTACTATAATGATATGCTCCAATTTTGAGAAAATATTTAAATTGCTTGCCTTATCGAGGTATTGAAATATATATGCCAGATTATATTGTTTTGTACGTAATTATTTCGTAGCAATAATGTTACTAGGATCTTTGAGAGCTATCATATATTATAAAATTTCAGTTTATTCCTTCTCTCAGAACGTCAAGACTTATTTTCCAAAAAATGCGTGGACAATAAGTAACTATAAAATATGTGTTATAATTTGCTTTATAGAGGTAATATCGCACACGTTTGTTACGATGGTAGATACATCACCGAAAACGAAATTCGAAAGTTAGGTATATATAATAACGTCATTATTATCTTCTCTTTTAACTACAATATTTCTGAGTTTTTATGCCGGTATAAAAAGAATCCATTAAATATGCAACTATGTTTTCGCAGAAAAAAAATATATTGCGAAGCAATACGAAGTATGAGAAGAACTTTTTATACGAACATTCGATAAACTTCGAATATACGGTGATACGTACATTATTTTTCATTTCTTGTGATATTAGACAAGTAGTAAATGATAATGTACGCTTGCAAAGTTTTTTTGCGTTTCCAACTGTAATCAATTGGGGGATAGCATTTTTAATATTTAATATAGCATTTGACGAGGGTGCTGAGTTTTTATACTTGTACGGAGAGCATGCGCGATGATTGTTTTCCACCATGCTGGGAGGAAAGAAACAATTCTCTCTTTATATTAGTTCTCATCACATGGATATTGCGGAATCTTCAGGTTACAAAGGTATTTTCTGTTAATACTAATTTACATAAATGTTTAATTAAGTTCTTTGAATCTTATCTTGAAACATCTAGTCTAGAAACATCTCTCTCTTATCTAGAAACATCTTATTTTATATAAAAATTTCTTAGATTTCATGTGGGCAGTTGAACTTCACCGTTTGGGTATGGAAATGATTGGATTGTGGCCTAAAACCGAAAAATTTAAGAAAAATCGGTGGCCAGAAATTCGGGTTGTCCTTATTTCAATTTTATTAATATTCGTTTCTGTTCCGATGATATATGCAATGAAGCGTGTTTGGGGTGATATAGTACTTCTAATAGACAGTTTACAGATCACAATACCTTTGCTTACAGTATCAGTGAAATATGTTATCATGCGATGGAAACAAACAGGTATATATGTGTTCAAAATTATTTAAAACAAGTATTTAATATTATTATATTACTAAATCACTTGACTTATTATGACATATATACATGTTGTGGATTATAACATCAGAAATCAGAAAATTATATGCAATTTACACTTATATAACATATGTCGAAATAAAAATTAAAGTGTATAATAAATCTTCTGATTCAAGAAATTTTTTAATAACATATATCTATAAATAGTTTAACTTTTTATTATCTTAACAATATTTATGTTTTGTCTGTATTTATTTATTTCTGCAAGTTCTCATGTCAATTATAAATATGATGGCGGAAGATTGGATGGCATTCAAGCTGGATAGAGAAAGAGATGTGATGATAAAACAAGCACAAACAGCGCGATTTATTATGATAATTGGATATATTGTCACAATAATGGGGTTTGTCACAGTAACTGTCCCACCTTATTTTGGCATTCAAATACTGTATGCCACAAATTTCTCGAATCGAACCAAGTTGTTACCGCTGGAGACGTTCCATTTCTACGATACAGATAAGAGTCCGCAGTATGAATTGACATTTTTTATTCATATCGTGACGACCTTGTTAGCAGCTATTATTTACATGTCTGTAGATATTTTTTTGGTACTAATAATTCTTCACATTTGCGGTCAGTTAGAGAACTTAAAATGCCGATTAGTTAGTTTGGTTTCGTGCAAAAATTTCAATAAAGTTCTAAATAACATTGTAGCGACCCATCTACGACTTATCAGGTATGAATTTTTATTTCAACAATAAAAAATTTTATAAAATAAATTTAAAAATACTATTGAAAAATTTCTTTTCCTATAAAGATTTAAAATTTTAAGTTATTATATGTATTACTTCATTTACAATTAATTACACACACACAAATATTAATATTTAATATGTGTGTGATAAAATATTATACCATTTTTTATTGTTTGCTTTGCAAAAATTCAACAATCAATGCACTTTACATTACGCATATTTTACAATTTAATATAATATTTTATGTTTAAACTTTATATATGTAGAAGATGTACTGTAAATATGGAAAAGAATTTTGTGAATAATATACCTATATATATATTCTTTATATCAAAATAAGAAAATATAATAATTCCTATAAATTCCTATAAATATATACTCGAAAATGTTTTATTCATGAAATATGTGTTTGTATATGCTTTTTACAAAATAATTAATTAAATATATTTATTACACATTTTTCAAACATGTGTTTACACAAATATTTACTTTTTTTATCACTTTGATATCAGAAACATACTGTCGAAGTTTTTCTTGTATTACACATACATCCTGTATATTCTAGATATATACATATATGTACATACAGTTGATTTGGTTTTAATGTGACTCTCTTTTTAAATATTTTTATTCCTATAGATTTGTCGAACATATCGAAAATATTTATTCTTTAATGATGTTAATAATGGTACTTTATTTTGGTATTGTATTTTGTCTAAGCGGTTTTATATTTACTCTTGTAAGTTTCAGCATTCCAAATGTGAACAAGTATTTCAATATGTTATATATATGTTTCTTTATTTTTTATTAAAGATATGCATTTCAGTTTCTTACTAATACAAAAATGGATGATCTTGTTATTACAAAAGTTTATTATTCGACAGTTCTTCTTCTTGCTTTACTGATGAATACTTTTCTTTATTGTGGTGCAGGAGAGCTTGTAATGGAGCAAGTAAGTTATTATACAATGTGTATATATATATATATATATATAT